GGGATGGAAATTATTGCGAAAATCAATCGCATAATAAAGTGAAAAGCGTTGTGGTGGACTCACCATAGACTTATGTGGAATAGCGGAGATGTTCGCGTATCAAACGTATAAATCCATAAATCCATTGGTTAGGCGTTTGGCAGGACACCGTATGATTGCATTTTGTAGCCCCTGGCTAACAAGTCATAAAATGAAATGTAAGTGAGACAATGCATCGTCAACACTTTTTTTAAATATCGCCAAATTGGGAGCAGAGACGACATAATTAGAGAGGTCATTCCACGGCAGGCACATGCGGAGGGAAAAGAAAATTTTACCGCATTCATGCCTGATATACTGAGTTGTCAGTTTCAGATGGTGACATCTTAGTTTAGTATTGTGGTTCAATTCCAGCAGCGGACAGCAAATGTGGTTTGGGTTCTTCAGAATCTGGTAAGCCATTATGAGATCCCCCCCACGCAAAAGCCGATATCGACTGCTGTACATTCTTAGAGATTGCAGTCTAACCTGATAGGAGAGATGAAGGAGGCCCCTGACGTTCTTGGTTTCCCCTCCTTGAGGAGTCTCGAGAGCAACGAGATCCTGTTTCTGCCACGGCTGCCACGCCTGAATAGCATATTCCACGTGAGGTCGCACGTAGACGTTTAGCATTTGGGGAAATATTGAGGGTTCAAACCGACCGAAGGCTCTGCGAAGAAGGTCGAAGTGTTGATTTCCGGTTCTCGTCGCCTTCTCTACTTGTTTTGAACACCCGAGATCTTCCTGCACCAATACACCCAGGTCACGCTCCTGATAAACCTTCGCCAAGGTGTGGTCTCCAATCTTGTAAGCGCTCACCGGCTGGTGACGCAGATGCATCACTTTGCACTTAGCCATGTTCAATTGAAGCTTGTTCCTCTTTGACCATTCGTAAATGCAATCTGTGTCATGTTGGAGCAGATCCTGTTTCGCCTTGTTACTAATCGCCCACCATATCTTGACGTCATTGGCGAAAAGCAGGAAGTTTGAGGAGATGACTCTTGCCAGGTCGTTGATAAACACCAGGAATAAACGCGGTCCCAGCACTGAGCCTTGTAGGACACCACATTCCACCTCAATTGGGTTAGAAAGTGATCCCCTAACACGTACTTGAAGCTTCCGTTGGTAAAGGAAGCTGCCAATCCAAGCAAGTACAGGATCTCCGATTCCGTAACTCTGTAGTCTTTGAAGTAGGATGCGGTGATCAAGGCGGTCGAAAGCTTTGGAGAAGTCCAGATAGATGACGTCGACTCCGACCCCATCATCAGCCACTTCGGTCCAACTACCTCGTGCAATAAGTAGGTTGGTGGTGCATGACCGGTGTTGACAGAAGCCATGCTGTTCCGGTACCAAAATGTTGCATTTTTCTAGGTAGTTCATTAAAGCCTCAGCGACGACTGCTTCCATCACCTTCGCGAGCACAGGGAGGAGAGTCACTGGACGATAGTTTGCAGGATCTGAACAGCTACCGACTTTAAAAATAGGGGTGATAATGCCACGCTTCCACATACGAAGAATTTGCTGTCCATCGAAGCACCTTTGGAAGAATTGTGACAGTGGTTCAGCTAGCTTGTTGGCCATAGCCTTCAGTGCCTTCGGGCGGATGTTGTCGGCTCCCGGAGATCTATGCTCGCGCAGTGAGAGTAACTTCCTTAGCACAATTGATGGGTTGAAAATTACATTTGCAAACAATGGGGTCGGTGATGTGCGTGATATTATGGGACAGGTAGAGGTTGCGAATTCGAAAATTGGGGCGTATTGTAGTCGCAGGGCATTAGCTGCTTCTTAGGCACTTTGTACTCTACTGCTAGTAGTGAAAAGTGGAGGGATTCCATGCTTCCCTTTACGAAGCTTATTGACCTGTCTATATAGTAGTTTGTTGTTTGCCATGAATTTTTTGGATAGGCACTGTTGATAAGTTACTTTATCCACACGGACAAATGGAGTACAATGATTTCGTTGGGTCAGGAAATTGCCCCAAGTCTCTGAGTCGGGGTTAATCTTGTAAGCACGCCATGCTGCATCCCTTTTCGCCAGGCATTTTCGAGTCCTACTCCTTAGAGTTGAAGGCATTTTCTCGGGACGAAGGGGTTTGGTCTCTGATGCTTTGTTGACGATGTCGCTGAGTCTATTATCGAACTCTGGCCAAACTTTGTCAAGTGGGCTTTTGTTCGAGAATTCCCAAGCAGCTGCGTCGGCGAGTTCTTTCAATAGGTGGTAGCGTGTGTTTGTATGAGTTAGTTCCGAGTGTTCAGATGGATAATCTGCATAACACACATAGTCAAAAGTTATTACTACATGGTCACTGAGACCGAATGGACTATTCATCAATAACTTGTCAACCATGAGCTCTTCATTTGTGAGCACAAAGTCCAATATGGACGGTTTGTTTGCTGTCCTGAATCAAGTGGGCGTTGTGACATGATTGAACACAGGAATATTAGCGATCAGTTCATGCAAGTCTGCTTTGAACTGCTCACTGGGCGATGCCGAAACCTCCAGATTGTGTAGATTGAAGTCCCCGGAGATGAGAATGTGGCTGTACCTAGTGCGTTACTCTGTTTAGGGCACGGATCAAGCAGGAATCCATTTCCGGAGTGGACGTTGGGGGGCGGTAAACGATAGCTATGAGACATGTATCGTTGTGTCTCAGTCGGAGACGGCACCAGAGTGAGTCGGTAACGTGTGTTTCCAAATCATCAACTATTGTACATTGCAGGTCGCTGTGGTAGTAGAGTAAGACCCCACAGTTCTTATGAAAAAAACGTTTAAACCCGGTTGCTGGCCTATTTACTATTTTGCCACATCGGCACAGAGCCAGTTGGAGCATGGAAGTGGGGGGTGAAGCCCATCGAGGGAATACCCCGCATGGAAGCAGTTCCCTGGGGACATTTCCATTGATGGCCGTATTACTTTACTTGAACTTTCGGTTAAATCTACATTTGTTATTGTTCCCAGTTTCTTAATCTCTCTAATACTCTGAAATTGATAATCACTTCAAAAACCCATTTGGGAACCTTTGTACAAAACACGTACAATTAACTATATTATGTGATCACGTTTACAAGTTGATTAGACCACTCAATTGGTCTGTGCCTCGTACTGTCGAGGAGTAAAACGGTTATTTATTTATCTAACAGAACGCGCACGCGTAGTATGGAACCTATTTACTAAAAATTTTCTACTTTACAGTGGCTAGAAAAGCCGGAAAGAAAAACCAGTGAAATAAAGAAAGTAAGGCGAGGTCATTGTCAACGAAGCACGTGAGTGCCTGTGTTCACGGATCGATACTCAAGTGTATAGATGAGTAGCACCTTCTGAAACCCATCGCGAAAAACCTCTTAGACAAAAGCTTTGAATTGACTCCGCAACACTTTTGTCTACATCATGGGTCACCAAACTGCGGTCCGCAATTCGGATCTGGTCCGCGACATCAGGTTATCCGTCCAGCCGATTGTACCCAATTTGTTTGGTAAAGCGCATAGAACACGAGACGTGCTACAGTTTAGATGTGACAGTGCTTGTCGTGTTGTCTGCGCTTTTGTATTGCTCGAACACTAGCATGAGCCAACTTATGCTTTTACATGTGGCAACGTACTAGTGTGGTAGTAGTGACCCAACATCGCTGGTACATGTATGTGAGTGAGCACGCAAGCAACTCATTCATCCGTGCACTTCAATGTGTTTCTGTTCACGTCACATCTTAGGGAAGGAATTTTCCGTTGGAACTTCCTTTGAAGCCAGTGTTATATAAAACGCCTCCTGTTAAGACGACCTTAGTTCATACATGATATTTTGCTATCATATTTGCTGGCTATTTGAAGCGAATTGCGTGTTATTAGTACGGAATTGCTTCGGAAGAGCACTGTTGAAGTTCGTACATATTGGTAATGCTAAATGCATGTAATTAGCAACGGTATCCATCCCAGCTATCTTTGTTGATTTGGCTTTGGTGGAAACGTTCTTCTCTAAACTTAAAAAACGCGTTGCCCTATATATATATATATATATATATTGTAAATTTTATGTGATATATTAGTACCTGTGGTGAGCCGCAGTTCCACCAAATACTACAAGTCCCTTGTTTTGCCGGTCTCAGTAGGATTTTTTAATATTTGTATTTCAATTTCTTTTCATCCATAAATAATCGGACACCGAGCCTCGCGTATATTTTGTCTTTTTTCCCATAATTTTCGTTTTGGCTTGCAAGTGTTGCACATGATTGTTATGCGGCCCAAGCTAACCAATTGTCAGTTATCCGACCCACGTTAGTCGTATTTTCCAGTTAATTGGCCCGATGTGAAAAATGTTTGGTGACCCTTAGCCTAGAAACCACGCTCAGTCCCATACGCTGTTACATGAACGGATACTTTGGAATGTATTACGGCTGACTAGCTTCTTTGGAAGCTTAATCCACACTAATTCAACTAATTCGGTGAAGGCGGGAGAGCAATCCGACTGCTCGTTACCAAGAGCATTAATTTACCATTTCGTTCCACTTGGTGTTATCTCATTCCCACAACACTGTTTCTAAGATGCCATTGCTCTGTTGCTACCTAGATGCATATTTGGTCTTGTTCAGTTTTGTTGCCTTTGAATTTGCAGTATTTTTCCATTATCAACTTACGGGACATGTCAAACCCATGTTTTTTATCCGTCATAACTGCATTTTCCATTGTTCCATTTTCGCCCTCAACAGTAGCACACCAATGTCCACTGTCGAAAGTGCGACATTGTCATCCAATTAATGTGGGTTATAAAACTGATGGCTGGAAGGAAAGTTGCGCTACGTAAGACACTTTGTTGAATCTGTCACAATTAGTCGCACCATTCCCAGTTGGAATTGTACCTGAGAAATCTCTCCGAAATGTATCTTATCGTACCAAGCCAGATAAGCTGAAACCAATGTCTTTCGTGGCGTCTTCTCAATGATAACTTTCTTATTACGCTTCCCACAACTAATCGCATGAACACTTTGGAAGGAAGAGCTTTCGATTACGGAACGGCGCCTCGGAATTACGGGCCGATTGCAACGGAATATCGCGTCCATCCCATCCCGGCAGAGTTTTCTTCATGGTACGTCAAGCAACTGATGACGGTCGCATCTACATAAAAACAATAGGCGAATGCCATTTTGTGCTAATATTAGTACTAATGATGATAGTAATCAAAGTACTAATCCCCAACTTCTCGAAAAAACGATACGTAATCCTTTCGTAAAGCCTGGCTTTAACTGTTTTGACATAGGCAAAGTTCCCAAAGAAATCTTGGAGAATAAATAATAAATGTGCCCTTGTACAAATGGTTCTAATCACAGTTTACTTTGATGAGATTGTGTCCGTGTTAATCGCACAGATCCAGGGGTATACAATACTAGACAACTGCTTTTGTCGCGATTATTACTGCCACTCGTCCCTCTGTGTACGTCCATGATGGTGGGACTCGATTAACTAACTCCGGACCCTACTAAGCGGTGATGCGTTCCATTTCAGTTAAGTGTTGACGTCTTAGACTATCACGGCAATAGATCACAGTAGAAACGGATAACCACTGTATTGTTGACGTCTGTCGGGATATCGCCAAACTATGAAGAGCTTTCCAACTCGACCAGCTTCATAAGGCAGGATCAGTTTGTGACTCTCTGCAAACAAGTCTCGAGCACGTGTCCGCACAATCACGCATGTTGGCATTCTACTATGTGTCGAGTTCACGCCGATAATCAAGATGGTAGTACTCTATTGTCAGCTATAAGTCAGCAAACACTCACAAAACCGTCAAGGAGTACGGTGTGTGTGCAACCACCAGAGGACAGCGCCTTAGATGAAACAATTGCACGACCCATTTTGCGGTGCTTTGAACTGGTCTGTGCGTCCAAGGTCTCAGCAAACGTTTCGATCACACGGCAGTGAGCTTCAAACAAGGTGGCAACAGAATTGCAAGTGCGTACAACGAATTTACCTATGCACAGAGACACCGTGTGGTTGTAGCCGATTGCCGACTGGTTTACTGGTCAAGGCTCGATAGGAATCATCGTCAGAACTTTGCATCAGTAAACAAGTTTATCCACTAAGTCCGGCCTGATAGGTGTGATTGAGCTTCACGTTTTCATCACAACTAATCTTACCAAGCCTTACAACTTGAAACGGAAAGTTGGTGTAGTTGGTTAGTAGGTATTGGGAAGACAATTGGTGTCCCACCCGACTATGAACTAAATAAGTAAAAACCAAAGAAGTTTGACAAGAGCACTAAGTATCGGGTATGGAACACAGTACATGACATGTATTGCTCAACAGTACGCGAACTTAGCCACACCCAAGGAGCAAGATGTATGGTTTACCATAGCAGTGGTGGGATTAAACCACACCTGACCTGTTGCCGTCCGCTTTTCCAGCAGTTACATTCCGATTAGTGATCACCGACACTGACCAGCTACGTAGGAGGCTCAGTGAAGCATTCAGCCACTGAGGGTCCACAATGTCAGCAAACGTGCCTAATTCGGGATCAGAATACTGCCTTGGGTCACGACACTCTCGCTATGGATTTTCCCAAATACCACCTCCTTCACTCGGATTAGAATACATAAGTTTGGTGTACTCGCTGGATCATTCACAGATGGACTGGTGTCCAGTTGGCAGTCACATGGGAAGTCGTTATCCGGGTTTCTGTCGAGAGCAGATATCATAAGTCACCGTTCGTGACGCGGTTGCATCCGGAAATCGATAAAACTGCTAATTGGTGTTAATATTCAGACTAACCAGCTAGCTTCCAAACCATCAGGGGGTGTTTTCACACTTTCAAATGGCATTTCTTGCTATTGTCTGTCTGAGGCCAAGCAACTGACACTCCATTTAGCGAAGGTGTAAATTAAATTTAATACATCCATCCAAAATCAACCCCAATTTGATGCGGGTTTTGAGATAGGTTTCAGCTACTTATGGCATGCTTACTCACTAGTATGTGCAGATTGCGTAACATTCACCGGGGTATTCTCTCTTTGAACCTGACTGCCTTTCTCAGATCACAGTGTGAGAAATTGCACACACAACACCCCAACACCAGCTCTGCGAAGGATGGCAACCGGCGATACGAAATCCAAGGTAAGCGGTTATTGACACCAAATGCATTAACTAATGTGTACCCAAGGAAGCATCCTACCCATCAGTATAGTAACGTTAGTACCGATTTGTACTAGGCGGCTTTTCTCGGGAACTGCGACGGAATCTGCAGTATATTAGGGATTCAAGAGTGTATCACTGTTTTCATTTTTCTGAGATTACAAAATCTATTATGTGGATCACTTAACCGTGTAGATAGTCCGCGCCTGCAAGCCTTAAAAAGACGTACAACGATTGCAAATGTATGCCTAGTTGCACAATCCTACGTTTCTACTATCACAATCACTTCGAAAATCTAACCCAAAACTACCTTTCCACAGTTCCCTAAAAGTTAACTCTAGCAGTTATTGTAATTGAACATAAGTTCTTGTTCAGACTCGTACGGCTATAAGTGAGAAAAATCGTTCGGGTTGATGAGACGCGCCCATTTTTAAGTGGACGCGGTAAGCGCTGCACACACAGCTGCAACGTGCGTGTGATTACGCTGGCCGCCATGGCCTCAGTGGAATTTCAGCAACCGCCGGTCGAAGCATATTGATCGATTGTCAGGCGACGACCTTGAATAGCTCACCCACCTAGGTTGCGTGTGCGTGAGTTGTGTCCCATCGGTCACACGGTTTCACTCACCCTGTGTACGGGATGTGTAAGCACGCGCAGACGTAAGGACTCACGTTGTCTGCCGAGTGGGCTGAGCAAGCTCACTGCTGATTGGCTGTAGACATCGTCCGAGCTTATGCAACGCTGGGAATCGCGGGTTGCTAACACCTTTCACCGTTTTATTCCGCCGTTCCATGAGTAAAATCTTAGCTATGGTTCCACATGAGTAGCAGACGCAAGGAGTAACATTTCTTTTGACTGTGCCACGCTCATTTGGCGGTAGCTTCGAGGTATGAATCAGAAATCCGGGCTGCAAACGAATCGCACGCGAAGCTCAACAAGCGAATTATAGACGCATCAACTGTTGCGAGACGACAAGTATATACGACTACGATGCAGCAGAATACGAAAACGAAAGAGCTGGACGGAAACGCGTGTATTCAGTTGCCAGACACAGGCCTGTTTGTGCGTACGGAAAGAGGCGACCTGGTTACATATAGACAAACGTAGTAAAGGTTAAATAGTCTGCTTCATCTTGTATTCCCTACACGTCAACGTACCAAAAGAAGTAGAACAGCGACTAGGAATAACGGCTGGTTTAAGGGAACCAATGGGATTTCGACTGCGTTACAGCAAGCTACCAAAGCAACCGCAAGGTGATAAACTTTGGTAGGTTTGTAACAGAATCGCGACCTTTGGCGGTGACCTGTGCATTTGATAAACGATTAAATCAGACGCCTAGCCTGTCCGGTTGCGTCGCTGACACCCCGACTGCATGTGACGCACCGCGAGTCTATGAAGTGACGAACGGTTCCTTTGGGGAGTTGGTGAAGGTATTCTAAAGGATGATAACAAATTGGCAATGCACATGATCTGGAAAATTGTGACCACTTCTAAACCTGCCACAAATGTATAACACTGGTCAACAATCGTTTTTGTACCAATATTTCAGCGATTTTAGGGTAATTTCGTGTCACTGATTCAGAATCTGGCCTGGGTTTCGCTAAATTACCTCTACTTTTTGAGGTATGCTGCACCCACTAAAATGCATAATATGATAGAACACAAGAGACTGATTGGTCTAATACTCATGTGGAAATTGTTTCGTGTGCTATTATTGCGGAGAAAGCAAATACCTAATATTTTGTACACAATATAATTAGAGAAATAATTTACTCAGCTAGTGCAAATTATGGCAGTTAATCACCCAAATAACACTGTAGGAATTCCTGCTGTGTGGTTCGTCTAAAAAGTCACCCTGAATCTTCTAGCAGTAGTCCGCAATCATTTCTCGGTTCCATTTACTTTATCCATCACTTTGTTGCCTGATGGAAACTCACACCACGTTCTTCGCTGAAGTCACCAAGATTACCCGGGAATGTAAGTGGCTGTGGAGAACCAGTAACTTCAGTCTCATGTTACAACCCAATGTGTCAAAGTTTGCAAGCGTATTCTCCACTAATACTTCATAATTTGTTGTCTTATGGTTACCCAGGAACTTCTGGGCAACGGAGTCAAAACGATCCCCAGCACGTGCTTCCACACTGTCCATAAATGTAAAATTTTCATCAATTATGGGTTGACGGCTTTGAGGAGTATGGTAGACTCCAGCTTTCAGTGTCTCCATACTTAGTTCAAGGAATGATCTACAAATGTACTTGAAACCGGTACCATATACTCCACTGCTTTAGCGTACTGTTTCACCAGCCCCAAGTTTATACGAAGTGGTAGACGAAACATATTTTCGTTGTCATTCAAAGGATTTTGAGGATGTTCGTCGCGCCTAAATTCATATTTTACCTGGTATCTCATCTCATTTTTCTACAAAGATGTTGTTAACTCTTTTGTCCCATAAGCACATCACGTAATGATACGCCTTGTATCCAGTTTACTGTCCAATCATAAAGTTCGCCATCTTTAAGTCCACCTAAATAACCCAATATCGATTGTCTCGATTGAAGCCTATCGCAGTAACAACACAGGAATAACAAAAATGGTGTTGACTTGTCCGTCCGCTCTACACCGCAGGCAAACTGTACTCGAAACCCTTCCTTACAACAGTAGTCCAGTTGCGGGGACACTCGACAGAGGGTTTTCAAATCTTCATAAATAACTATTTATAATATCGTAAGAACTAGAGCCAAGTTGGGAAAACAGCTTTCATATTTTAGACCAGCATCACTGAAATACTGTAAGTTGGCTGAAATATGCTCAGCATCACTATAAGTTTTTCTCTGTTGACCAGTTCAGACGCATTGAACGCCTTCTCAAGCGTGCACTTCTGCTTCGGAAAAGTAGTTGGCGTTCTTGTTGCTGATAATGCAACTATGCAAACACCGAACACCCCCCAACAACTTCATAGTTCAGCGGATACTGAGCCCACCTTTGTCCAGATACCACGATTCACTGATACAAGCCAATTACGCTCCGGCCTGTTGAATGGAACAGAAGGACTGAGTTTATACAGGGCTTGCTTTTGACAAACTTCAAAATAGCAAGGAGGAACGACATTTCAGCATGACTGAATTCGGAAATATCAGGTATTCACATCAGCCGTTATCGTGGAGTCTGCAGAACTGTCGTATTGTGTGTAAGTGGAAAGGATACTCATTGTTATTCGATTTGAATTTGCAATACTCAACAAACCTCACCAAGGCAAAGCGAGGCTACTTGCGCAAATTAGGTTTCAGCCGTCAAATCAATGAAGCTTCCACAAACTGAAACAGACAAGTATTGTTATGTGGGTTCACTATATTGGAGGAGTTTATCTTTCGCCCCACACTGCGGCAACTGATATTGTGCATATGCTATCCTTACGTGTCTGGCGCCCATTGCAAAAGAAGTTGAAGAAAGTCGTAGCTCTGCCGGTCCAGTGAGTCAAATGCTGTGAATTAATGTGGTCTCAGATGCAACGCATTTCTGCTGCGCCAAGTTCTTGCCCGCGGACACAGGCGGAGGCCTGCAACTGTAACCCCTTCAGACTGGGGCCTGGCTGAGCGAATGTGTATTTGTGATGTAAGTTGAGCGTTGGTCATTTCAAACACACTACACAGCGACTGATTTCGGAGTCTGGGCCAAGTTCGTGCTGCGGGATAATGCCAAAACTCTAGGCCACTTCTCATTGTAAGAAGAGGTTATTCACACCATAACACTGAATTCACCGATGTTATTGCGGTGTTTATAGTCTTATCTCAACACACTACGCTTCCAGTTGAACGGGTTGTAGTTTAACATAAACACAATGAACATCGTATGAGTAATCAGTCCAGTACCAAGACCAATATAACCCAGATCTCGGTGTTGGCAGATGACGATATAGTTCTCCTTATTCCCACCGGCTCGCAGTGTATACGATAACACCCGTTCGCGAGCGATGAGGGGATGTGGCCTTTGTATCGATGGCTATAGTTGTAAACTGCGCATTTTCAGTTAGGCTGATTTAAATAACTATACCTGAACCGCGGAGGGCTAGCTGTTTAGCCGTCCCACTTCCATTTCATTGCAATGACAACTCCCGGTTAGTGCCCGTCCAGCTACTTGCGACGTCTTTTCTACATTTGTGAACATCATTAATCAGAACAGTGAACGCCCACGGGCAGCGAAATCACAGAAGGATTGAGGAAGATGTCATCCCCTCTCAGTAACCAGCCTGGATGGCGAATATCATTGGTTGACAGGCACTAGACTTCAACTCATTGAATGAGGTAGCGCATTCGCCACCGTACAAGGTAGACAAGTATCAGAAAGATTTTAAGTACCCAGGTGATTAAGAGCACAGTGTTGATTAGTTCACTTTATTAGTCACTGTCTCCAACCCCGCTCAGAGAATGGCCGGTTCTGATGACTAGCACTAACGTTACTAGCTGACTTTCAACTGGGTACTCTTGGTGATTTCCACCCTATTCCAGCAAGTGGAAAGTTCCCTTCCCGCCAAACATTCTGAGGGAATAAATTTGATTGCAGGGATCAGGATGAATCAGCACACCGGAAGAGATACAACCTAATGCAAGCTCTCCCAGAAAATAGACAACCGAACAGAAAGTTTTTGAACTAGACATGGTGCTTCTGCAAAACAAGGATGTTTGTAATCCTGCAATATCCAGCACGCCGGTAAATTGATAACCTTACGTTTAGTGCTGTTAATCGCAAGACAAAGATAGAAGAGGCGTTGGCCTGATCTCCAGCCTGATTTCTGGAGATGGAGTGGCCATCGAGTGCATTTCTGTGGACACGCGAATTTCACATGGGTATTGTCAAAATCGATTTCACTTCACAGAGTAGCGTGACTTTTGCAACTAGTATTAGCTGGGAGGATTGGCCAAATGATAATACAATTGAGACAGGGATCTTGCGAATTGGTCAATAAAGGAGGGTTCATTTGGTGACAATAGATGCACTTTTCGAATCCGAATTCAGTGATTTCAGGAAACGAAAAGGAAGCCGTTAATTAACAAAGCATGCATATCACTTTACCAAACAAATACATTTCTGAGATTTAAGTGAATCCATCCTCAATTGAGACAAGGGAGGCAGATCAAGGGAATGGTCCAATCCAATCGGATAACGACAGTATGATGAAGGAGGTCAGGTGCCATAGTCTGGATTGGCTAAATGTCAAAAGTGAGGGGATAAGCTGATTTTCGCCCGGTCTCCAGTTAGTGGTACCACAGCGCTCATGAAACCTCGGCCTTCCGCGTTGTTTTTTCAATCTGCATGTAATTATGCTGTATAAAAGTAACGGCAAATATGGCAACTAGGACGATTTGTGTGCTATCTCACACGATTAAATGCATACTAAGCGTAGTTGTGTTATAGTAAGCTGAATATTTTTCTTTCCTTTTCTCCTAGGTCATGAGAAGTCTAAAAAGGTAGGACATCGATATACAATTGGAACGACTCTCATGTTGAAGAATGAACTACCCTTTCATCACGAACCGCTATTTTATAAACAGAAACTTTTCAATGTGTGAATTAATCAATTGCATACCTCTTGATGAAACTCGTTCCTCTTTTGTGGGGGGGGGGCTTTTTCACTTCATTTAACAAATTATACCAGAGCATTTGAGCGTAAATACATCATCAATCAAACGACACGTGCAAGCATGTATTTCTTGAGCATATCATGCATTAAAGGCGCTGCGTGTGTGCCGTAAACTGCTGCTCTTATTTTAGCATTTTCAGCCAGTCCATTGTGCATCCATGACCTATTGGCCGCAGGTCACACTATTGTAATTGGATATTGTTAATTGTTAATTGTTGTTAATTGGATATATTGATTAGGAGAGCAGATATCATTCGATTTGCTTGCCAAGTTGCACATAGTATTTTCTCCTTGAAAAATCCGTGTAATCAGGCAAACCTTTGGTTGTATTGTTTACAAAACCTCCACCTTAATTAAAGCCGCATTCCCATGATCCGCTAAGATCAAAAGAACTAATCCGCCATTTACATACCTGCGACTGTCATCGGACATTCTTGGGACTCGTGGTATATGACTGATAGGGAACATCGACAAGGTCATAATGCCGATCGGTATATTGGGTTGGCCTAAACAATTATGTGTGCCAGTTGGGCAGCTGGGTGTGGAGCACTGTTCCTAAAGTCCCTATGGCTCCCGTGATTTCCCTCGTGAGTGAGCTTTTTTTAACTGCAATCTGCTAGGCGTATCCTTAATTAACGCTTCCGAAGCTCTTGTTTTTCTTTCCCGTTCCCTGATAAAAGGAAAGCGATAAGGAAATCCCGACACGGCACCTGTTTTCTAAGTTGCACCGCAAATAGTGCTTTTTGTTTTAATTAGTTGCTACTTTGCAATCTAGAATTCATTTCTCTGCTTCAGCTCCGTAACTAAATACTCTGAACTGGGAAAGCAGAATCCTTAAATAAACGTACGTTTCCTGCTGGGAACAATTTGTGAGGACTAACGAAAGCGGATTCTTAATTAAAAAATAATCAGTAAAAATAGGCAACTGTTGCATGATTGGTCGCAATGGATATTGTTCTCTACCAAATTAACCACAACAAACTGCATTCGTGGACTAAGTGCGACGTTCAGTCACGCTCACATTCCCATTGACTACCTTTGATTTTGTCACTGACTTGCTCAATAAGGCCAAGCAAAACATTCTCTGTTGTAGTCATTTTACTTATTGCGGGCTGTCTCTCGATGTTATCCTCGCCGAAGTCCCATGTGTTTGCTACGAATCAGAGCCGCGGTTGTCCAGCACGGGTGTGGTTATCAAGGCACAGCCTTTTTCTTACGGTATCATGTCTCCCCTATCTGCGTTCCAGGCAAGCTATCACAACAAAGCCTTAGTGATCACATGAATCCGGGTAATGACTATGGATGTTCAACGTATGACGCAAGATAGCTTTGAGTTTGGATGCAGCATGGTTTCCAGATAACTAAGCTCTTTACTGGGTGTAAAAAAGCTGTGCACTTCAAAAGAATATATGTAGTGAATGCGTTGCAGTTACTTTACTACTACGAAACGCATGGGCCTATGCACAAAAGCAGTAACTCGCTTATATGTGGTGGACGTATACAGCTACTGTACCCCAAATCTGTGACTGCGATGGTTAACGTTCAGTATGTCTCTAAACCGCCTGTTGCGTGCACTGCTTCGCCTAAGCCAGTCCAGTGGAATGGAAACGAGGATCGCCCGCCGAATCTCACCACATGCGGACAGCGTGTGTGCACTATGCTCTCGGCAAATTTCGACATGACGAGTTCCCTATACGCGAAGTGCTGCGCTTTGCCTAGACCAATCAAATTACGCAACATACACACCATCCAATCAGATGCAAATTCAATGACCTTGTCCCTGCAAAATCGACTGCAGAGGGCAATGTAGTCCGCTTCGTCCCCACTTCCTGCGTAGGCACTTTGTTGCCCGGCTGGCATGATAGGATCCGAGTTCTTGGAGTATGTTTCAAAATACCAGATCGCCACCTACGTTGGCGTCGAAGATTTCGCGGATAAATTTAACTTCATTGTCACCGTCGTAGTTTTGCTCCTATGTGCAACCGTCGTCACAGTCAAGCAATACATGATGAAACCGATTTCCTGCTACATGGCGACAGATATTGGGGGCAAAAATCTTTTGGATTATGTGGAGAACTATTGCTGGGTACAGGGGACAATTCCGATTGCGTACGCTGGAAGGGTCCCGGAATCCGACGCCGGCTGGGAAGAGCTAGAGAAGCACAAGTTGCGTAAGTGAATGGTTGCACATTGGGATCACTCCATTTCATCTCGGTCAATATGAGAAAACTTCATACTTTTGTGCGTCGCTATCCACCACCTACGAAATCATTCTCAAAAGATGTCACACTACCTACTTGAGTTTTAGCACGGCTCAAGGTTTTTTAATCGCGTGATTGCGGCGTATGTCATTCCCAGTGATTGCTCTGCTGTGGTCTAGGTACCTTAGCCGTTGTTTCCTTTAAGTTGAATGATAGATTATGAACTGGATCCGGTTTCGTCTTCCTTGAATAGCTAATTATCATCGTTCTATGGGATTTACACCTCGTACCTCCTCCGCCGTACTGGTGTTCGCAAATAGTCTGCTTGCTTAGGCTTGACTCTTATCTCCCATTTTCAGCCAAACAAGTACATTTCTGCGCATTGTTTGTGCGTTGTCTAGTTGTTATCAATTTTCACACGTATGGGTATCTTGTCGCGGCAAAAGGAATCACCTTTGTGTGTAACCGGAGTCCACTTGGGACATGCTTCTTCTAGTCTTAGCTAAAACATGTTGGTTCTTGATGACCATATGAGTACCAGTGAATGCCACAGTGCTCTACTGACACTGAAATCACCCATTGACAGACGGCAGTAGTTTTCTCCTTCACTTTGCCCTCTGGGCGGCTCTGTTTTATTTTATTACAATCTGTCTGCTAACGGGCTTCTGTTGCAACTGAGGATGTTCGACCTTGACAACGGTCAGTATTTTATACAATGTCGGCCACTAAAGCTGGTGCGTTTCATTGCCTCAGCGAACGTCCGGATATGAGATAAATCCTTGCATCCGTTCGCGCTCACTTCATCTGCTTTGTATTTGGTAAATCTTCTCTTGAGCAGCACCCGGAGATGTGGAACTGCAGATCTCTATGCGACCAAATTGCACTCAACTGTTAGATATAATGAAAGCCGACACTAAGGCGTTGTCTGTTCGTAGTGCTCATAAAGCCCTGGCAAACGTGATCACCATACTTTCCACTGTTCAATGAGGCCAAAATGTACGTAGCGATCGACTGGCCGGACGATCATGCTCCATTCGGGAACGACCTTGACCTTGGTGGCGCAAAACAGGCTATCGTCTAACTTTAACAAGTGTCAAATTGCTCAAGCACGTCAACAAAACGCCAGCAGTCACAGGTGTGCAGGGCACAGCTCCTGGGTCGTTTCCTGGGAGTGTGATGTGTGTGTACTTCCGCAGGACAATCTTGACGGTGCCAGCTATTTTAGACTGCAATCTCGCTGGGAATGATTGTATTTATCACATCATCATCAGCTCCAAGTCGTTAAACGGCGACTGATATAGCTAAATATCCCAATAGACTTATCTAATTTTTGATGGAAATTTACTTTCGGACGTTCTTGCTCGTCAAACGCACGTGGTTATCTAGATTAGGATGAAACCTTCATACTACATCGACAGTTGTCCAATAATCCCTGTAAAAGATTAACGGAGATAAAATTCCTGAGTTCACGTGTTCGCCGAACTTCGTAACTGGTATGCAAACGTTTAATCAGGAACGATCAACCCGAGTTACCACTGCATTAAGTCATTTTGAGGGAAATAAAATGTTTACGTGTGTTGGCGCATCCAAACGATCATGGCGCAATTTTTGTTTTCTCTTTTACATCCGGCCTTTTTAACCGTTTGTATCTCTGTTGACGCTGCACGCGTAGTCTTGCGTTCATCGGCTTGATGCGACAACACTCGATTGACTGGTTTCGCTGCGCTTCACCTGGCTAATCGATGAGCTTCTCCATAGCTGCACGACTGGCGTGGTCTTGAGATCACATGTCCCTCCGCCTGCACCACGTGTTTGTTTGCTTTGTATTGTCGCTGTCCTATCGTTGTTTTCTCAAGGAACTAGATTTGAACCCACTTCCATCGGCTATCAAGGATGGTGCTAGGTTTTTTGTCCATATCTTAGGTCACAACTCGAGTAAGTTCCGTCCTTCTATCCATATACTCCGGAATTTATTTGCAATGTGAAGATTGGCTTAAACCTTATCAAATACTAACTACCACAGACGTTCTAATCCCTTTTGACAACCCCTTGGATTGGCATCTGTTACCTCATTGACCCTGACTTTTTCAACCTCAATTCATTCATTGTTTCGAAGCACACGGTTTCAACATTGCAGTTAGCTTCGTTGCTTTACGTGCACAAATGTGTATCAACGTGGCGCGCAATTCTCAAAGCAGTCGCAGCGTCAAAATTGATTAAATATCACGGACGCGGCCGTTCATTTGGGCTCAGTTGAACTCCACTCGGTTTTTGCACGTCGTTCGCACTACCTAGGGATGAACATAGTCTCCTGTGGGTGCGTCCGCACTGAAATAGCCCCATCTTAGGCTGATCACCTAACCGAGCTACGTGGTCTAATGATGGACTCCTGATATTTGGCAAATATGGTTTGGTCCCTTATACCGTCGTGTGTATCAAAAACCAAGACTATAAATGAGTGCTGGGTTAAGAATTCTTTTCGCGTAAGCTCTCATCAGACCCAATGTTTACACGGCAGGTATCATGTGGCGTAAGCATCAAGTCGGGTTAGAAAATTACTTTCAATGTTGTTTGGCCAACCAAATCGACCATATGTGGTAGCCTAAGCGAACAAGGGAAAGGTAATACATCAAACCTTAGTAATTAGTTCAGGTAAGAAACAAACGACTGGGTAACTGTCTGCTGGCCAGAATAGTGTGGACTGGGCAATACATGAACTTCCGCGGTCAATATCAGTACATTCTAAAGGAATGTCAGTCCGATCTCTGGCCCTCAGGGTACGACTTGTTTCCACACGGGATACCGTTAAACAAGAATTGCAGTCAGAAGTGCCTTGAGAGAAAAGGGCTATCCCGACGAAATTATCACGAAGCATTTGGGGGAACGCAAACAGAAGCCACCTGGAAACATTGCTCCCAAGGGAAAGAGAGCTGTTCATGCACTTACCATCTAAGGGCGATTTTACTGCTGATATCATATCTCGACACCTGCAATGTGCTGTTAAAAACGTTTTCCGCGGTCCACTTGAGAACTCGCTGCTCTCCGTGCTTCCAAACTCAATTCGACCTGAAGCACGTTAAAATCCTCGGAAATGCATAAGGCTATCAAGTACGTGAGCTCTCTGAAGCCTGGCATTCAGAGCAGAGCTCGAACAATAAGCACTTGTATCAGAGTCGCTTACGATGCTGTGCCGACCAGACCCTTGAAACCGCACTGATGATGTTGACGTTAGTCACCGTGCCAGTGCAGTCGGTGGCAAAGCGATCACGTTATCTCACATCGCGAACACAGTCCATGAGTATGGCTCATACTCGTGCACACGTGCACCGTGTCACATGACGCACGCGAAGCAGCTTCAAGCGTGAACAATGCAAACTTTTGGGGGAACGACGTAACGAATTGAGAAAAGTTGTAGAAACAAAATGTTTACAAACAAGTCATTCGGCTCAGAAAACAACGCGGTATCTGTAACCACGCCCAGAGCCACAGATATTCTAAACCATTTCAAATGCACTCAAGGTCTTATATGACTATCTGAAGTTCAGTACTTGGTTGAAAACACCATCTGTTGGCCTACCGCACGGACGAAGAGCCAACATTGAAACGGTAATTCGCTGTATTTTATTGTTTGGCTACTTCACATCTGCCAATCTTTGTTTGCGTGATGGTAGCGGTCAAGTAACGCGAGCGAAGCTGACGCGGTCAGTTGACTGGAAAGCTAATCAGCGCCACCAGCGCAAGTTGACCAAGCATACACGGACCGGATGAACAGTGAGGATTTGGTTTGCATGTTTGAATCAAGCGTGGTTTAGGTCCCGGACAAGGGCATACGAGTTGCCCGCGAGAGACACCAGCCCTGTGCGGGTGGCGCATGGTGCGATGGCAATTGATCGATCGGGCGAACGGATGCTACAGAGTTGGCAGGTGGAAAGTCAATCGGCGCAAGCTGCTCACACTCAAACAGACCGGATGCACGATCCAGGATTGGTTTTGGGTTACAAACCGCAACTTGTTCCAGTCAAGATAGATGTGGTCCAAATAGCTGCAAACGAACAATGAGTGCGAGACAATGAACTCAGGCAGATAACTTGCAAAAATCAGCCATTGAAAGTGTGCTTCAATAAGATAGGGATTCAAATTTGTGTACTGTACAAGATGACCCTTTGTTCATTAAAACCGCTTATGGATTGTTGTCTTAATTTTTATTCTCCGAGGAATATCTCAACAGGTTGTATCACCTTAATAGCCTTTGAGTGGCGTTTAACTTCCGCACACTTCTGTTTACTAATCGTATGCGACTGCTGCTTTCATAAACGTTCCATCCCATTAGTTTTTCGCACACAACTTGGTTCTCCTTTCCGCCTTTTCGATCATTCGTTGCTGTCATTGGGTTCGCACAGCACAACTCAGTATTTCTCCTACGTACTAATCAATCCTGCGATGAGTATCTACCATGTATCTTAAAATTGAAATGGAGTTCCTTGATGACTTAATTGAACACAGCGGTGCGACGCCGTCGCGCTTGTCACTGGGTCGTGGTGGACGGGACAGGAGAGACTATTCACAAAAATCCTGTCTAACAAACTTGTCACAACACGCCCTCGATTTTGGGGACACCACATTACCACAGTGATCTGTCGCAAGCGGGCCCGTTATTGTTCACAGTCGTAGCAGATAACCCACACCATGCTACCAAAGGCGTGGTGAACAAGGTAAGAAGTGGAATGTGCAGACCATTCTTGTACATGTATTCAGTACTTTTTATGTTATCCTGGTATGTGAACTCTAGAGAACTGTTGCACTTAAGGAACTTGCGGCCGCTCCATATGTTGATACCACTGAGATTCACGTAACCTGAGCGCTTTTTCACAAGGCCAATATGTAAACTGCTGGACGTTTGTTAAAGACCGGATTGCTGATGTGCAATCACTTATGTGAATGATTTGGTTCGGTGCTCTTCCCTGATCCCGTGCAAATTTTACACTTACTATGTAATTTGTGGTTGGCCACTTTATTCTTTAGAAGTTAATGCTGAGTGTCACTGTAGTGACAACCACGCGCATAACACAACCGACTGATGGGTATATGCTGGAGTGACATTTGGAGCACCCTGACTGCATTTTCTGTGTCTCTGTCCGTACCGATGAGACGCGCTTTGGACGAATCTTGGTCATGCGGGAGAAGATTTTCAGCGCAGTCTTAACATATACCGTGAATGCGTTTTTCCTGGTCGCAAATACTGTCCGCTCTTGGTGGAATTCGATTGCTTTGGCGTTATAACGCAATAATGAAAAGATAAAGCTATACTCCGTTTTTTGAGTGACCAGTATGCGCCTAAGGTATGTCTCATTGGGATAGCCAGCGATGCACAAATGGGTCACTCTGCGGCAAACAATCGGACACTTGCACTGACTAGGTGCATGCTTTTGCTGGAACGAAACGATTTTACGAGTTAAAACCCGTGGTGTTAAGGATGAACTGTATTATTTAGTCACATTTAGAGCAACTTTGCTGTTTACTTTCTTGTTCATCTTAATGCGAGTGACCGAAAGCGCGCCAAAATAGGATGGCTGGCCGTTCATCTGTGGTGGCAGTCCCTTTGGTGCTTTGCAACAGTAGTTGTTGCGTCCCGTTTCGGCGAAACCTACCCAGCTACTCGCGCGTTGATCAGGTGTAGCGTACCAAGGTTTCAAAACATGTGCCGAAATGGTTCATGAGTTTTTCAGGCTAACATTGCGTTCCTCAATGCAACCCCTCGATGCCTAGTGAAAGAGACTCATAGGCCCCCCTCACATTAAATTAAGAAGCCCCGAAAGTGTAAGTGTGATCTGTCTTGCTATGTTCTGCTTTCATTTGTGACCTTCGGGATAGAGAGGGAAACAGGTGACCCGTATATTACAGTATAACCCAGCGTTTACCTTGATCAGAGGAAGCCATAGAAACTAAGGAGGATTTAAAAATCACTAATGGGTGGTGTCGAATTCCACGTAGCGACCAACTCTAGAGCAGCCTTGACCACACATGCGAGCATACTCGCTTCTCAGAGTTTAACTGCATCATTTTCCTTTCTTAGCGCTGAGCAGTTACAGGTTTTTTCATAAACTTTCTCATCACCCGATTGTGAGTGACTAAGCCGTACCTGGGTTGTCTATTAAGTATGGTTGTGTCGCCGCTGACTATGCGCACGCCACGAAAGCAAGGAGGTCACGGAAGACGAGACATGATAGATTTGTATAGCTGAGAAATCAGCCTCTTTTAATTAGAGTACTGTAGTAAATGAAGCAAAGCTACTAAAACACCTTAGAGGCAACCAACAACATAAGAGACACTGAGTAACACGGGCGAATGAGAAGCGGTAAATGTAAGAACCAATCACGTGTGTCCGAGACAAAGCTATTTCGCGGGAATGGGACCCTGAGATAACCTCCATTACGGACAACGTACGCCGGCCACTCATATATCAATAAACAAACGATAGCGAAACGAAAGCCGGTAATTAAGAATTGTTACAAAAACATTTGTCTAGCAAGCATCCATTTAACAAGTATCTCGAGGGCCTACCGTCTCAAAACCTTTCTTAGACCGGAGTGGCGTAGCAACTACTTTTGCCCCCTGGGGCGTTGGCGCAATTTTCGCCCTAAGTGATGGCAAAATACGCGCGTGAAGGCCACACAATCCTCTGTGTCAAGTGCACATTAGTTTTCGATGAAATGGATGATCGTTTGGGACACTGAGGAAATGAGGTGAAAGTGACCACAATGGGACAACTGAGGGGATCATTAGGAGGAACGTTTACGCAAGAGTGACACGGCGCAAATGTGTTGTTGATCATACAGAGTAGCATCGAAATGTTCAACCCTCACCTTATCCCGATATTTTGCCATGTATATTTGTCGTAGAACAATCGATGGCCCTAAAAATGCCGTCCCTTGTCACATGCCGTCCGGGGCGGACCGCCCCCCCACCCATTCTCCGTCACTGTTAGACCGCAAACGTTTATGAAACATCTCGTACTATCAGAAAACTACTCTTATACGCTCGCAGCTTAGAAAATCTTTCATTAACACTTAGATTCACTTTCAAATTTATTGCCATTTATCTCCTTCCCTCGTTTATCTCGCTCATCAGATATTTCATCTAGTCTACCTCAAACAGGATTGCAACTTGCATTCAGTCGTTTTTGCATATTTCTTGATGCGGTGATCTGTGTGAGATTTTCTTCTCTCTCTTGTTAGCTAACATTTTGATGTGTGTGACCATCCCTTCACACTTCCCCCCCCCCCCACATTATTATATCAAAACCCCATCCCTTTTCTACTCAAGCGAACGTTAGGTTTTTATCTTACTGCATTCATCGTACAGCGCTCCTGTGTTACCACGCCTGTTAGATCTGTCGAGCCACCGAATCATTCCTGTAGTTCACAACCGCTTACTTGCGTAACATTTGCGCGTGCCCTTTATTTGTTTCTCGAAAATCTACCACAAAGTTATGTCGCAATTCTCTGCCTACTCACTGGGAATGCAAGCGTTCGATTGTATTGTTCTGTATACGTAACAACAGTTGCGTGTAGAACCACAATGTCTATACTAGAAAAGCAACGCTACAACGCGCTACTTATTGTTCTACCTAACCTACGCCAAGCTCGGTCACGGTGTAGTGCTGTCAAGATGTTTCTACTTCGATTGCACCATTTGCATCTGTCCCTAAGGAGGGAAGGATGCACTAACTCTTTACTTCCTGGCACTGCGGTACACCTCCCTGGTTTTTATTTATGGCACAACATCGACCAGTGAGCCGGTCACCACGCCACTCAGAGGGACCAGTTAATCAATCACCGCCTTTTCTGCAAGTTGTTATTGTTCCATTGGCTGTATAATTCACACTTCTTTCTCACATATACTGGAAGAAAGATCACATTGTCTGTCCTCTCCGCAATATTCATGAATTGCCACGATGTACCGCGCCGAAATATTTGTATTTGTGCATACGTCCCTATTCTTGATTCTCAGTTCCGATCCGTATATAGTCACATCCACACAGTTCTTTAAGGTAAACCAATCATTCTACTTTCAGCTGATGAGGTGACTACGGATTCAAGTACCTTACTGTCAACCTATTGAACCCAAAGCACTTTTAGTTCTAAATGAAGTTCTCATCGACACGCGTTGTCTTTTACTTTTTGGAACGGAAAAGTCTGGATTCTTTTGGTTTTCATCGTGTCCTCACCCCGACACTAGTGTACAGAGCTCAAACGATCTAATTACACTTATTATTATTTTTCTAACTCGATCTGCCTCATTCTCAGTTTTTTTGTGGAGAACCCAGTCAGCCAACTGGAAAGCACGAGTTTACTTATCCATGAGGAATTCAGGCTTTAGTTTTTCGTTCCTAATCTTTGGAATCTGTTCCGCTTTTCGTATTGCTAGTTGGAGTCACCACGACCCGATGCAATCTCTTAGTTAGCACTTTAGCCTAGCCGGTCACGAACACCTTCCGCGTTTTGCCAAATGCCAGCCGCTCTGCATTCCGCTTATTTCATGTGTACCTTTCGTTCTTCCATTTCTCTTAGTGTACTACCAGTGGGTCCCATTCGTCCTCGGATTGCAGTGCATTCTGTTCTACGTCCCTCGCGTCATATGGCAGATGATTTGCTACAATCGCGCGGGTACCGATATTCAGCACTTGGTATTGAGTGCGAGTGAAGCAGTCCATGCAACTGATGAGCAACGTCTCAAAATGGTTCAACACGTGGCGAGGACTTTGGAACAGTTACTGTTTCATGTAAGCCGGAGCGATTGACATCAGTGTTTCATCGGTGAAGTTTCGAGCAGATTTATCACGATTATACTTAGTCTGGTGGCTATCACGCGCTGCTGGAACGCGCATCCAATGCACGATTCGCTGGAGTGTTGCAGCTCTCGCACCCATAATCGTCATTTGTAAAACATCCACTTAATCTACCGGGTCACAGACGAAGGCGGAAACCAAGGTGAATAAATTATTAAATGTGTAATGGCGGAGGCTAGCCGTAATGAGCCTAGTTGAACCTTTTACAACTTTCTCAGTATATGCATCAGGGCTTAGTACTTCACAACCGTATTCAGAGTGTAGTTGGTCTACTCTCCTCGTGCTCGTCACTACTGCTATCCATTACCTGAGCTAATGAATGTGATAGGTGCGTTTCCACGTGTCTGCAGTTGCTCTCACCCGTCAGGTGAAGATAGCGGAGTTTCACCTCGATCGCGGGAAGAAGCGGCTACCGGCTGAAACTCCTATTCTTATGTCACGGAGTTGCAGGCAACGTTTGTCACAACGGGTGCTTTAAATGAGTCTACGATGAAGAATAAATGTACTTGTCTTCCTGAGCCCGTCACGTTCCCTTGGCTTGTGGTAAATGTTTACCGTTGTGTTAGTGCCTGATGTTCACTGGGGAATTCAAAGGTGCTTTTCTGTGCTTCTACTTTGGCAACCATCAATCCAAAATCACTTAAAGCACTTGCTTGCTGGACAAGCAGCAGCACTCTCCGCCTGGGGTGATAAACCACCGACCATTGTCAGAGTTAGTTCGTCTTTTAATCTGTGAATATATTGTGCCTCACAAGGCTTTTATTTTGTTGCGGAACAATTCTATACTAACCTAGTTACCCTTACTTGTCTACTTTCCCCACTAACTCAACACCATGAATATATTGCTATTGGCAGCCCTAGAGAAGTGTAGTAGGTAAATTGCAACCACTCTGCTACCCCTCAGCGAATCAGATCCGCCCTCTCAATCAGAAGTCGAACGTGCGATCTGACTGCTGAATTTGAATAAAGCCGCGGGACCAGACGGTCTTCATCCAGCGCTCTTAAAATTCGGGGGCCCTGCTCTTGTTTATGATTTACACGAATTACTAGTGAAACTGAGAGCAGGAAACTGTCCCAACCGACTGGAGTCGCTCCGTTATTGTCCCGATCTTCAAAGGATGCTCGCATTCGGAATGTGGCAACTATAGAGGAATCAGTCTGATCTGCACCGCCTCCGATTGCTTGCCTCTCTCATCTTTCAACAGGTCGCTGTCCGAAGATTCGTTGCCGATTGATTGGAAATGTTCGGTGGTGAAGCCTATTCCGAAAGGTTGCAACTCTAGAAAAGTAGACAATTACAGGCCAATATGTCTGACACCTTTTGACAAAGGTTGCTGAGAAAATCGTAAATAATGGATTATTGCAGTTGCTCATCCTCATTATATCATCATTATACACGTCAGCTAGAGGTGGGAAACACCTCAGCTACTGTGCAAAAAAAAGCAGTTGCAAAACAACGCAGTTGCTACAGTCAAAAGAGGTCCTGATGCCCGCATAGCACGGTTTTATGCAAGGCCGTTCATGCATTACAAACTTGCTTGTGAAGAGGCATGAGTGCTTGAAGGCAAAAAGCAAGGGGAAGTCTGTCGACATGATATTCATCGATTTCAGTAAAGCATTTTACAAGGTCAGCCATGAGGTTCCTCTTCACTAACTCAGGATGCGCGGTATCGGTGCCTCACTGCACCGGTGGGTCCGCGACTTTCTTGTTGCACGAAAGTGGAGGGTAGAGGTCGACGACCATCTGACTAGTATCCCTTTACAAGTGGCGTGCCTCAAGGCACTGTACTGGGGCCCACTCTGTTCCTGATCCACATCAACGATATACCTCAGCTTCTCCGATCGCCGTGTGCCTTGTTTCCAGTCGACATGAAGATTTGGAAAGAAACTGACGCTCCCGACAACTGTGGCCTACTTCAGCAAGACCTCAACCGCCTATCCACATGGTCTGCAGCAGTTCGTCTCCCGGTCAACCCAGCCAAGTCTATATTTATGAGCCTGTGGAAGGGTGCTGACGGCTGAGCCTAAACTCTTAACAGCCAACCGATATATCCCACACCCTCCGTGAAGGACCTAGGAGTACTCTCCCGCTACGCTTTGAAGTCCGTGGACAACACGAACAGGCTATATCGTAACGGACTGCGCATGCTTTGGGCGCTCAAACGTAGCTTCAGCACATGGTCTGAAGAAGTTGCCACTCGCCTCTTCTCTATTATTATTAGACCAATGCCAGAGTACGGTTCGCCAACCTATTTTCCGATTACCCGAGGCGAGGCATAAAGATCGAACAGGTCCAACTCGTCGCTACCAGGCTGATTCCGAGTTTCCGTGGCTTGGGGTATGAAGACCGGTGCGCGAAACTAGGACTCTACACCTGGTTCTACCGTCGGGTGCGAGTTGACCTCATTATGACCTACCGTATTCTACATCTCGGTGACTTCCCCATGCTGAGGCCAGTACTGTACTTACAAGGGCCATGCATCACACGCAGACAAGAAGACAAACATGCCGTACCGGATGTGAAACGTGTTCCCCATCCACTGTGCTTCGAACGGAGAGTCGTAACTATTTGGAACAGTTTGCCTGAACATGTGATGGTAGTAACATCTTGTGCAGCAGTTCGAAACGATGTTAGGTTTATATTTTACCACTATCTGATTCAGAGAACAATTGCACATTTACGATGACATATCACATTTGTTAGTCTTGCAATACCGTTAGTCAGATATTTTAAGCATCACATGAGAACGATAACGATATTCACGGTTGACAATTTTTATAATGTTTTTCATCATATTTCGAAAGAGTTGTACAGAATTCATTTCTAATTGCTCTATAACACAGTATTCAGTATTCAAATACTGACTAGCACTCGTGAAAGCTAAATTCATGAAGTGCAAGCCGGGTTTCGTCGTGGTCCGGGATGCATTGACTACATCTTCACTTTGCGTCAATTTTTCGAGCACTGGCACATATATTGGCGGGCCACCGTAGTCGTGTTCCTCGATATCCAAGGTGCATTCGATTCGGCTGTTTGATGTGCCCTTTGGGACTGTCTACCGAGGAAAGGTGTGCACGAGAAGTATAGAAAGCGCTCTAGCACTTTACGCGCGTAGCTTAGGCAGAGTGAGGGCTTATGCCAAGCTGTCACCGCTCTTCAATATCCCCAGCGGTGTAAGACATGGAAGCCCGCTATCACCTTTCCTATCCAACTTCACTATTGACGAAGTCATGGAAATCACGTTCACAGGACACGAAAAAGAAAGTGTGGAGCTGTTCGCATATGAAGGACTTCTTGACTTGGAGTACGCTGACGCTGCTGCGCTCATAAATATGCCAAAAGACACTGGACAGATTCGCACTGACTGTCACCCGTTTCGGGCTTTGCTTTGCACCATTGAAGTGCAAAGCTTTCCTTTAAGATTGGCACCTGCGCTAGCACTTGGTGGGGATCCGTTAGAAGTCGTTCAGAAATGGAATTACCTGGGACGTTGTATCGGCGCTCTTGGGATCGAAGATGAGATCACGAACTGTATAGCAAATGCTCGAGGCGCTTTTGCTAACTTTCGCCACCTATGGCGCCGGCGCGACATCACTCTTACCCTGAAGGTTAGAGTGTAAAATGCAGCGGTACGTTCGACCCTACTGTATGGTTGCGAAACCCGGCCTCAGATCAGCGAACATAAAGAGGCTAGTTACGTTCGACTACCGGTGCCTTCGCAGTTTGGCTCATATCTGTGGGAACACGGTTTGAGCAATGAGCGTGTTCGACGCCTTGTTAATGGCACAGGAAGAGGAACTGAAGCGCTCAGGCCGATATTTCTCGCACCAGGCTCGGATGACTGGGCCACGTGTTGCGCATGCCAGCCCACCGCGTTCCACGACGTGTGTTGTTTGCGCGCCGGGGGTGCGGATGGAAGAAGAGGAGAAGTGACCAAGCGTTGACTTGGCCGAGAGGAATGCAGGCTATTATTACGAAGTTGGCCTCGCTTGGAGCGTCACGGCTCCCTGGCTGGGGTCCGAAGGACGATGAACGCATTCGCTTGGATACGCTTGTTGACATGGCTAGGAGCAGACCTCCCTGGCATTTGTGTTGTGAGTTCCTTTGTCCATCCCCTCCGCTTAGCCTCCCCTCCAACCACGATCTCAATTAACAAGCATTGTATGCTATTTTATGGCACAATAGCCATCTGTTATCTCTCCGGAACGATGTCCCTTCATTACTTGTGACTCAACCGGCGTGTATATGCTTCACTTTTTTCTTTTCTTTTGTATTGCGGCATCATAGCTGAGGTGTTTTCCAAATGTAGCTAGCGTGTATAATGATGATAATGATTTCTAGATCTTCCTTGCGCATCGTAACCAACTGTTCGCGATCGTTTCTAACTGTAGTCATGGTGATCATTTTGCTTTACAAACTGATCACTTTTCCCTGTTGACTCTATAGTTGGGTGATGCTACTGACCCCACTTTCTCATATGCAGCAAGCGGTAACCAAAAGACTAACAACCCTGAAGACTTTTTTATCCATTGTTTAGGTTGAAATATCCTGCTAGTGTAGGTGAGCTAACAGAGCAGATGCATGTTGCGAGACTCGTGGTATGGACGCCTGCTCACTTTGTTCCACAGTACCTTTAGATGTGGAATCTCTTGCTGTCCATTTTCTCCAAGTGTCATGATTGTAGTACGACTACCATTTTTTAAACCTGGCTTTTGCTCGTTGAAAATAGGATTACTGTTAGCTTCAGAAACCCTTGATGTAGGAGGAGCACAGAAACACATCTAAACTAAGCATTTTCTCTTCCCACCACTCCCCATACTTTGTGCAGTCTGCGCTCAGCTTTTGGGCCTATTTGACTCACACTGAACATCTGCGTTGATGTTTGTACTCCCAATGAACCGTCTTTAGCTGTTAGTCAAGCTCCACTAAGAGA